TGTGCTTTCGCGGGAGTCACGGCCGTGCCTCTCGGAAAGGGAAAAACAAAACACGTTTTCTGTTTTTTTTTTTCGTTCGTGAGAGTCACGGTTTTGCTTTCGCGAGAGGCACGGTTGTGCTTACGCGAAAGTCACGGCCATGCCTTTCGGAAAGGGAAAAAATACGCGTTTTCTATTTTTTTTTCTTTCGCGAGAGTCACGGTTGTGCTTTCGCGAGAGTCACGGGCGTGCCTCTCGGAAACGAAAAAAAAACGCGTTTTTTGTTTTTTTTCCTTACACGAGAGTCACGGTTTTGCTTCCACGAGAGGCACGGTTGTGATTTTGCGAGAGTCACGGGCGTGCCTTTTTCGGAAAGGGGAAAAACCGCACTCCTGGTTCGGTTTTTTCGTTCGGTTTTTTTCGTGAATTTTTTTTTTTATCAAAACCTATCAACATGGGATCTAGTTTTGAAGATCTCGACGCGAGGAATCCAATGATGAAAATGGTTCGAGATTTGGACGCACGGTTTAAGAGATAAAATGTTTTGAATAAACGGATCTACGAAAAAAGAGAAAAACTCCCAGGTTGCGACAAGTGGTGCACTGCATGTGCGTCAGAAAGTGAAGTGTTCTTTGCAACGAGTACTTTTTAATTAGTGATTTCGGCTTTTAAGTATATTCAGCCTAGGGCCAACTACTTGGGCTTCTTCTTGGGCTGTTGTGTTTAACAGAATTTTGGTAGTATCCGCCCCTGGGATCTTGGGCCAAACAAGGAGAGCTAATAGGGGCGCTCCTTTGGGGCCTCTCAAGTCCGATAGATAACATGGGGTGGGTTGAGAGGGCGCCACTTGAGACGCTCTCAGTCGTTATCACGTGTCCCGCTCAGGACGCCTCTTACGTATTTGATTTTTTTTATTTTTTTGCATGCATTTTCAGCTTTTTAGATGGTTTTTTTGACTTTTCGGTTCTTCATTGGTCTTTTTTAGTTTTTTAACAACAAATTGTTTGAAAAAGATTGCTTAAAAATGCGTTTTTTCTTTCTTTCGTGAGAGGCATGGTTTTGCTTCCACGAGTGGCATGGTTTTCCTTCCATGAGAGGCACGGCCGTACCGCTTGAAAGCGGAAAAAGAAGCACGCTGTCTCTTTTTTTCCTTTCGTGAAAGGCACGGTTCTGCTTTCACAAGAGACATGATTCTAAAAAAAATGCGTTTTTCTTCTTCTTCTGTGAGAGACATGGTTTTGCTTCCGCGAGAGGCACGGCTGTGCCTTTCAAAAAGAAAAAGAAAACGAGTTTTCTCTTTTTTTATTTCTTCCGTGAAAGACACGGTTTTGCTTCCACGAGAGGCATGGCTCTGCCTCTTGGAAATGGAAAAAACGTGTTTTATCTCTTTTTTTTCTTCCGTGAGAGGCACGAATTTGCTTCCGCGAGAGGCACGACTGTGCCTCTCGGAAACGGCTTTCGAAAAGAAAAAAAAAGTGCTCCCGGTTCATATTTTTGTCCATTTTTTCGTGAAAAAAAGTTCTTCAAAACTTATCAACATAGGATCTAATTTTGAAGATCTCGACATGAGAAATTCATGGTGAAAATACTTCCAGATTTAGACGCACGGTTTAAAAGATAAAATGTTTTGAATAAATGGATCTACGAAAAAAAAAAAAACTCTCGGCTTGCGACAAGTGGCGCACA